GGGTGATGTCAAGAAAATAGACCAGGAATACCCAGCCATGGGCGGGTTGTATAGCTATGTGAGGGTGACGATGAACGAAGGTGGGGAAGTCATCTCTGTCTGCCCCAGCAGTCAGCAGGGAGCCACACGCTCCATGCTGAAATAAACAACTCTCCCAGTCTGCATTCTGTGTTGTGTCCTCAAGTCACTTTGCAATAAGGTTTTAGTTTATTTGCTTGCTCAGGGTCACTGCCCTTGCCCTCTCCGGCCTCTTGTGCCCCCTTCCCTTGACTTCCTGATCTCAGATGCCATCCTCACTTCTGGAGGCCACAGCAGGATGGAAAAACCTTTCCCGTGATCCTCCTAGAGTTTGGAAGAGTTTTCCTTGTTGTCTTCTTGTTGTTCACCATTTTCACCAGCAAGCTGGTCTCCAGTGTACCCACGTCTGCAAACAACAACAGCATTTAATAACTACCAGCTTTGTCAGGGACTTCTTTCAGGACTGTTGTCACACGGAGGAAGAACGTTTTCTTCTTAAAACCACATGGAACAATAAGGTCGAAGACAGAGAGGATGGACTTCAGACCCCTATAGACGGGCCTGTCTTTCAAGCCTGCCAGGCTGTAGCTTCCTCCATGCAGACTCCAGCCCTCCCCACAGAGACCAAATCACCACTTTTGCTATGCTATCTCTACCTCATTCTTCCTGTTCCCAGGCCTTCTTCCCCTCCCAGGAGAGCCGCTGGAGGGCAGTGGTCACGTCTTAATCTCTCATTCCACAAACACCTGCTGGGTGCCTGCCTGTGCCAGGCTTTGGCCCAGAAACTGGGAAGGTGGAAGGACGGATGTTGACATGACCCCCTCCCATCTCCCAGCCTGTACATCTTATTGCCTTGGTATTTCCGACTGTCTATCATAAGTGCATTAGTTATTTTCTGCCACACAAACAAATTACCCCAAAACTTAACAGCATAAAGCAAACAGAAATTCACTCTTCACACATTTTTTGAGGGAGTTATGAGTTAAGCAAGGAAAGCTGGAAGTCTGTGGATTTTTTTCAGGTAACATTTTGCTCAAAGGAAGGAATCCTGGAGCCTTCAGCTGGGCAGTTCTGGCTCAAGACCTGTCAAAAGGTGGAGTCAAGTCACCAGCTGGGATACTGCCACACGAAGGCTTGCCTGGGCCGGAGGATCTGCTCCTGGGTTCATGCATGTGGCTGTTGGCGAAAGGCCTCAGTTTCCCCCATTGGGTATTCATGACATAGTATCTGGCTTTCTCTGAAATGAGTGTCCTGAGAAGAAGAAGTGAGCAAGAAGAAAGCTGTAGTGTCTTTTGTCTCATTTCAGAAGTGACACATTGTCACCCCTGCCATATTGTATTCTATTGGGCACACACACCAACCCTGGAACAACGTGGAAGGGGACTGCCCAGGGGGCATGGATCCTGAGGGTCCATCTCGAAGGCTGCTATATAGTAGGGAGATTAGTAGTGGGTAGCTAATAAATGCCTGTCAAGTTTTTATCCCTCCAATCCAAAGTCAAAAGCTCTATTTTTAAAAATTTAATTGATTGATTAAAAATTTTTTTGAGATAGGGTCTCACTATTAAGCCCAGACTGGCTTTAAATTCATAGTCCCCTTGCCTCTCAAGTGCTGGAATTATAGAACTTGACCCATACATGTGCCGTCATACCCTCCTTTTAATAGACTATCACTTTTTAGAGTGGGTTTAGGTTCACAGAAAAATCAAGTGGAAAGTATGGAGCATTCCCAGATGCCTCCTGCCTGTCCCCAGGCACACCTCTCCTCTCCGTCTCCCCTTATCAACATCCCCCACCAGAGTGGTGCACCTATTACGATCGATGAACCTCCACCACCTGGCATTTATCATCCAAAGTTCCTAGTTCACATTAGGATTCAGTCTTGATGCTGGACAGTCTGTGGGTTTTGATAGATGTATGATAAAATGCTGTTTTAAAATTGTACCCATAAGTAATTTATGGCAGTATGACTGAATGTCAACATGGAGAGGTCAATGGTATTGGAAGAAGGGTCTGTTCCTCACATTTCTTGAGAGAAGGGGGTATGTATGTCGTGTAGGGTCACAGGGAAAAAACTAGGTTTGGTCAGACAGAAGCAGGAGGGTATAATGGGTAGGCCAGAGGGTGTTTTTGGAGTTTCCTGGGAAAGTTAGGGCAGGGTAGAATGAACACTTCAGGATTGGCTATTTTGAATAAGATGTAGGGATGATCTCTAGCTTCCTGGTAGCTGACCCTGGCATGATTTGGGACAGGAGACACATTGGCTTGGTGAGTGTGAGTCAGATATGAAGGCAACTGGGGATGCAGCCTTGGATTGGCTCTTCTACCCAAGAAACAGGAGCTCTAGGTAAGGTGACTTGCAGGCTCTGTGATTTTTGGATGTTAACTGGATGCAGAATTTGGGAAAACATAGCTAGAACTCTTGTACCACACTCTTGTGACAGTGTCACACAGAGTAGTGAAACTACTAAACACCCCTTGTGCTCTGGCTATATCCCTCCTCCCCAAACCCTGCAGGCACCGATCCTTCCCAGCCTCCATATTTTTGCTTTTTCCAGAATGTCACATAAACTATACTATGCCAGCCTTTTCAGAGTGGCTCTTTTTTTTCCCCTTAGAAATACATGCTTAAGTTTCCTCCATGTCTTTCTATGGCTTACAGCTCATTTATTTTACTTCCTTTTCTGAAACAGAGAAGTAAACATACTGTTTGCCCTTGCTTTGTGGATTGTATCATTTTGGAGTGTTTTTAATCTTCCACTGAGCTTAAATAATTTGAATAATTTCTCCAGAGAACATGTTGCTGCCTCCTGAAAAAGTCCATGAATGTGTTTGGGGCAGCCTGGTAACTCTCCTTTCTCTCAATTTCTTTCTTTCCTTTGTATCTCACCAAACCATTCATGTTCTGATTATCCAACCATTTGTGGAAATTTTCTATCTGAAACCCTCATTGTGGTTTATTTAGGATAGATTTTATTTAGAGTACAAAGTAATCAAGTCTTGGGGAAAGAACTGAGCCTTGTCAGAGGAGGTCTGGTTTCCCTGCCATGGAGAGGTGCTTGCTATTAAACAGAAGCCTCATGTAAAAAGGTCAAGAACTGCTCTTTTTTTCATAGGGAAAAATACAGTGATATCATTACAATTTGTCCCACTGCTATGGTAAGCTAGCAATATGCATGCAAATTTTCCTCCCCCTGTTCTCCCTGGAGGTTCAGAGAAGTGAGGCTCAGAGCAAGAGACCTGGAACTCCACTGGGGTCATGAGAACTGACATTTGTGTACCGTACAATGCTATGCTTACTCACTTGAGAGAGACATATTTTCTCTGATAAGTTGCAACCGGACAGCTAGTGGCTCTCAGCAAAAGAAAATGCTCCCCAAACCTACATCTTTATGAGTTGTAACCTACTGTAGAAAAGGATGGAAAATCCTAGAAAAAAGAATTTAGGGTGCTGTGTTAAAATCTCAGTAGAATATCAGATTGACTCTTCAAAAGTTGTTAACATGTAAGATTGTTGAGAATGGTCATTGAATTTGTATTTTTGACTACTTGCTTCACAGAACTATATAATAGTTCTGCTTGGCTGTATTAAAAGCAGTATTTGCAGTAAAGTAGAGTCAATGAACGGAAAAATGTTCCTCCAGTAACAATACTTTTGAGGGTTCAGGATTGTTTGGATTCTAGGCATCCAAATAATCATGACCTGTTCCCTTGTGGTTACAAAATCTTCTGAGACCAAGAAGGTAGTCATGATGCCTGAGAGATGAAACACAGTTCTTGAAGTGTGTCTGTGCCAAAGGCTCTACCAAGGAGTTGCAAGCCTCACACCATCTTTCAAACATTTCCTAAATATCAATGATTTCAACCTCACTTGCCGTCCTGTTTCTGATCCACCCTTCTTGGTGTGCAACACTCTCTTGCTAGCAATGCTCTCGAAATCGGGAATAGTCCCTCTGGAGGGGTGTCTTACCTGCAGGACATGGGAATAAGTACAGGAGGGCCATGCATGTTTTGAAAAATACCCCTCAATGATTCTTACAAGCCTTGCTGGGTCAGGATGGGAGAGTATCCCTTCCTTTCATTTTTCTGTTGCTGTAGCAGGTGGAGGTTAGTAGGTTTCCTGGCCTTTGCATGGGCCATCTGAGAAGGCTAACTTGAAGGACAAATTCAGGTGGGAGATCACCTTGGTCCTGATGTAGGATTTGCCACCAATGAACATTAGACACTTTTAAACCAAAAGGGTTGGACTGCATGGTCCATATTGTCCACTACAGCAGTGACATTTCACTGCTGCACTTTGGATGGAAGCTGGGGGATCATGTGTAATTGCACAGGATATCATGTTTTCTTGCAAACCTAATCCCAAGGTTGTAAGCTGGTGATCAGATCTGGCTTGCTAATGTCTTTTATTTACACCCCTGGTGTTTTTCATTTTTAATTAGTTGCCAAAACTTAAAAATAGGGAGATGTACCCTAGCCACTTCTAGTGTGTCTCAAAAATTCTGAATCTGTATATGACTTCTTTGAGAGCAGGCATACCTGCCCACAGTCCACCTGGCACATTTTGCTCATTTCCATTTCTTCCTGGCCACTGAGGAAATTTGAGTTTGCAAGGCCTACTTTAAATTTTTTCATGTTCTCTGGATCACATGAGACAATGACAACTGTTAAAGGAAACATTTTAAGCTTTTTTTTCTGCTACTTGTGTTGACTCAAGGGAGGTGGGTTTGTGTGAGTACATGAGCTGTGGACGTGTCTGTCTGGTTTGTTCATGAACATAGAGGGTGAGAGGAGAGCTAGCAACTGCACATTTTGTGATGGTTCTGCAAAGCTTCCCGTCAAGGTGGCTGCATTGCAGATGTGCAGAAGGGATAAGAGAGATTCTACATGAACACCTGTGTGCATCAGGGAGAGATGACATCTGAAGAGAAAAAACAGCACATGGGGTTAAGCATCTTTTTCCCTTGCTTTACTCTTGTCCAGGTCCATGCCACAAACGGCGGGCAGGTGGCTGCTGTACCCAGTTGGGCTCCTTGTCAGCCCTGAAGCATGCTGTTCTGGGGCTCTACCTGCTGGTTTTCCTGATTCTCGTGGGCATCTTCATCTTAGCAGGTAAGAGAAGCCCTTTTCCATCCTGGCCTTTTGCAATGAGAAGGGAGACCTCTGCTCTTCATTTCCACCATCATAAGCCCCAATGCTGCCTTTGTCACCATGGAAACCACAGAGGAAGAAGCTGCCTGGTCTTTCCAGTTAGGCATGGCTCTTCAATAATACTGGTTATTTCCTATATGGGATGGACTGGCAGGGGCTACGTGAGCTTGTGGAATCTCTGAATCCAGCAGTAGAGACCCAGCTGCTCAGGGTGGCCTCTGACTTGTGCCATCGTGGCACGTGTGCATTGCGCTGGGCCTCCCTGGACCTCTGGAGTATGATTTACCTTGAGTAGGTTGAGCTTCATCTTAGTTCCTTGTTCTGGGGTGCCATGAAAATTATCGCAAGGCACTTTGCTGAGGCTGATCAAGGTCATGGTAAGCCTACTATCCTTTGCAATTATGAGTTTGCCCCAGTTTGGCTAGGCTCCTCCCCAATTTCTATTAGTGAGATGGGCAGGCAGTGGGCTGAGGTTTGGAGCATTCTCTACCCAGAGAGAAATGGAGTTCATGAACTAGGAAGGGATCAAAAGGTGGAAAAGGCTATTGACCTTGTGCTTTGAACAGTCCAGTCCACTGCCTACAGGCCATCCTATCATGATGGAGTCAGTAAAGCAGAGGCTGTAGTCCTCCTCCTGGCTTCCTCCAAAGGAAGGGCTGCTCGTTTCCCATCTTTCTTGTTGGAGATGTGTAGGGCTTGACAAAGTAAAGCCAACAGATCAGTTTACCACATGAGAACCCACCTCATGCCAGGCTCCATCCTAGGATTGGGATGGAGCTAAATGAGACCCAGGAGCTTCTCTCAAAAAGCTTCCAGTCTAGAGGCCAAGCAGGATCATGCAGGTAGAGCTGTCCCAAGGAGAAATGCAGTGGGCACTGTGATGGGGGTGTAACAGTGCTGAGGTGGTGCAGAGGAGGCATGCAATCTGGAAGTGTGGCTTTTGCACGGAAGAGGGTGGGGTTGGTTGGACAGAGGCTGCTGACCAGGCAGCGCTGACTTGGAGTGTTGAGGGTGGGGTCCTTGAGTTAACTCTAGGACAAGAATCTGGAAGTTCAACCCTTATTGATGACCTTTTGTTGGAAATTCTGAGGGAGATGCCCAAGACCTCTGTGGTCTTGACTCACTCCCAGTCAAGTGAGACTAGTCATTGGGTGTTGTGATGGGATGCTCAAAGCAGCCTGAGCCTTCAGGTTTCCACACTCAGGCATCAGGGGTGGTGTCTGTCCCACAGATCAGTGACCTGGAGGGCAACCAACAGCAACAACAAGAGAAACTCGTGATTCATCCCAGGGACCAAAGGATGGTGGCCAGCAGGATCTATCATGGGCCAAGCCAGCCAGAGGTTGATTTGAACATGTTCTTGGGCTGCTTGGTGAGAGATTGGAATCTGGGTTTTGTGGGTTTGGCTGCCAAGGCCATAACAAATTTCTGGAATGTTTGGAAAGCACTTCTCCCCAGCAGGAAAACCAGACTATGGTGTTACAACTGCTCTGCAGAACAGGAACTTTTAGATAACAGAAGGGGTTTAGAAGCCAGGGATAAGACTGCTAGAGGGCCTGCCCCAAAGGGGACTATGTCCTGGAGAAGAGAAGACTTGGAGTGGAGGAAGGTTCTCTTCTCATGTCCGAAGGGCTGCCATGTGGAAAAGGGCAGACAAGTTCTGTGTGACCCAAGCATGGAACTAGGACAAATGGGTGGATATTGTAAAGCCAGATTTCCATTCAAAATAGAGGAGAGTTTTTTTTAACCAGGAGTGCTGTCCAGCATGATGCAGAAAAGCTTTCCCTTGGCTTGGAAGTCAAATGGGATTTATGATGACATTTTGGAAGCTTCAGAAAGGAGAGTGGAACATGGTTTCCCAATCTCATGAAAATGTTGCCTCACTTCCTTAGTTGTTCCAGGTAGAAACCTGGAGTGGGTTTTTTGATTACTAAAATCACCTTTGAACTGAAGATTTTGGGTACCACATTGCCTGTGTGGAATGCAAATTTAAGGTGACCTGGAAAACCAATCTGAGAAAACTTTGTTTCTTTGCTCTGGGTTTGTGGCCACTGTCATCTCCCCGGGTTCTTGTCTGAAAAATCATGTTGGCCTCTGGGAGAGGCTTGGTGAGAGAGCACGTGAAAGAATACAGTCAGTAGCTATCTCTCCCATAAGAAGGGGAACTGGTAGGCAAGTCTACAGTTCCTTAAGGAGACTGACTGATCTTAGGGGGAGGTTCCTTCAGATTACCTGCCTGAATACTTCCATCGATGCTTTCTTCCAGCATCTACCAAGATGGTGGCAGAGGAGAGAGATGGTTCAGGATGAAGCAAGACTTACCTGGCCTTCCTGGAGCGAGCTTTTTCCTCTCGCTCTTTTATTGGAGTGAGTTTTCTCTCACTCCTGGTTATTACTGAGCCTACCTGGAGCTAAGTGGGTGCTACTGGAGATGCAGAAAAGACAGGATAGACAGACAGACAGAAAGTTGGGGCCAGGTGTGTTGGGTGCTTGGGTGGAGAAGCACAACCCTCATTGCTTCTTTTCTTTATTATTCTTTCATTTACTCTGCTTCTTTTCTTTATCTTTATTCTTTAAGGCCTTACTCCTTTATAATTCTTTAAAACCTTGCTTCTAAAGTCTTTCCTTAAAACCTTGCTTTTAAAGTCTTCTTTTTCTGTTCTTTAAAGTCTCTTTCCTTAGACTTGCTCTGTCCCATGTTTTCTCTTAGCTTTTCTTTAGCATGATCTCTCTTAAAGTCTTTGCCCCAGACTTGCACTGTCCCATGTTCTCTCTTTAGCTTTCGTAAAGTCTCAGCCCTCAGACTTGCTAGCAATTCCCCTTTAGCAATTCTCCTTCAGCAATTCTTTTCCCTTCAGCAATCCTCCCTTCAATTCATTTTCCCTTCAACAATTCTTTTCCCTTCCATAGCCTCCCACATCAAAAAGCCAAAAGCCCAAAAGCCAAAAGCAAAAGCCTCAAGCAAAAATCCCCAAAGCAAAAGCCTCAAAGCAAAAGCCCCCAAAGCAAAAAGCCTTGTGTCCTCCTTCAGTGAGTCTTTTATATCCAGTGGTAAACAGGGTGGAGCAGAAGTTCTCTGGGAGAGGCATGACATTGTAACAGGAGAAACCTGAGTTCCTGCTTCTCTGAACATAAACAATTTAGGAGGAGCAGCTGTTCTGCATTTCCCCTCTTCTGTGGCCAGGGCTGTGCCATCTTAGGAAAAGAAGCTGAGCTGCATCTCACCTTGCTTATGTCCGGTTCTCATAGGCTTCTCATTATCTGTTCTCTGCAGGTCTTCTGTTGGGTTCTTGCAGTGGGTGTTTCTACTGCTTGGGTTGAACTTGCTGTCTATGCCCTGGAGAAGTCACCTTATACAGGACATCTGTTTGAACCCCAAAATGCAAAAGCTCCTTGTGCACTCAAATCTCATACACCCTACAACTGGTTGACAAAATGATTCTCAGCAACAAATTCCATTTCTGAATAACTGACTGGCAACATCTCAATAGAGTACAAAACTTACTCTCACTATTTCCAATATTACAAAACTATAATCTTATCATTTCAAAACATTACTCTGATGAACCTCTGTGGGAATTCTCATGAGTTATATCCTTGCCCAAATATCCTAAATAAAAGCCAAATACCATACCTTGTATTTATGCATCATCCTGACTTTTTCCCTATGAGAACATTAATCCAGTCATCACCCAAATCATTCTATCAGGAAGCTAGCGTCCTCCTGGGAACTGTCTTTGACATCCCCACACCATCACTTGGGTCCATTCCTTTAGCTCACAGCCTTCCATCATCTCCAAGGAGGCTGCCATAGTCAATTCATTCAGCCCCAAATTCCTCTTTTTCCTCTTTCTTCAACACATCTTGTCTATTACTTGGGCGATACTTCCCTATCAGTTTTCAGCTTTGTTCCAGATTCACTGCAGACAGTACAGACCACTGGGTTTACATGCATAAGCAAGAGAATTGAGATTGGTTGGTCATGTAATCAGATCCTCAGTTAGCACTTTAGGCAGGCTGTTCTCTGTGATGAAGTTAAAGAGTTATAGGTGCTCCTTCTTAACTTCATTAACCTTCTTCACTTCTTAACACTTCGCCACTGTGGAGGCAAAGCGTGGTCATCATGAACCACCTCTTCCTCCTCCCCCTTTCCTGTGGTAACTCCATTGATGAATTTGCGGCAGTAAAAAGGGGACGTGTAAAGATCCAGGTGCCTAATTTTGAGGGATGCAGCAGCAATTATACCAACAGACAGAGCAACTGCACCACGGAGAACCCCTAATGGGACAGGAGCTCCTCTCATGCCTTTATTTACCCTTTCTTTCTTCCTTTTTTTTTTTTTTTTGCGGTATGGGGCTTGAACTCAGGGCCTTCACCTTGAGCCACTCCACTAGCCCTATTTTTGTGGAGGGTTTTTGGAGATAGGGTCTCAACAGAACTATTTGCCTGGGCTGGCTTTGAACCTTTATCCTCCTGATCTTTGCCTCCTGAGTAGCTAGGATTACAGGTGTGTGCCACCGGTGCCCAGCTAATTTACCCTTTCTTAACAGCAGCAGTTGGCCACTGTTATCATCATTGTCAACAAGTGTTTAATTTGTGCCTAGTGGGTTCAGGGCAGAGAAACAAGCTATGGGAATAAAAAGTCACGAGGTGTGATTGCTGCACTGGGTGGGTTTAAAGTGACATACACAGGCTGGAGATGTAGCTCAAGTGGTAGATAACCTACCTAGCAAGGGCAAAGCCCTGAGTTCAAATTCCAGTACTGCTAAAAAGTAAATAAAATAAGGAGGGGGGGAGAGAGAGAGAGAGAGAGAGAGAGAGAGAGAGAGAGAGAGAGAAAGAGAGAGAGAGACTATGATGTAGCTTATGCTGAATGCTAAATTATGCAATGGAGAGCCTGATTCCTGAGGGCTGGGGTGTTGGGGAAAGCCTCAGTCTGGAGGACAGTTGTCTAAATGTCA